TCTGGGCCACTGGTGGCGCTCAACCTTGAACGCCCGCGGCGGGGTCGCCGCCGGTCGACACGACGCGAACCTCGGGGATGGACAGACCCCCCTTTGGCAAAACGTGGTTCAGTGAATAAAAGACCTCAGGCCCAAACCTGGCGGGCGCAGGCCGAACATAACGGCCACGGCGCCCTCTCGAGAACCGAAAACGCACAATTCATTAATCGACGTGCCACTGTTGGGGGTTCTGCCCACCCCCGAGAACCTTCCGTGCAGAGCAGCCCGCGGTGCGCACCCCCAGCACTGCAGGTCCTCGGCGGCGAGCCAAAGGGGGGGGAAGCGAGCAGGGGCGGGCCTTCTCGGAAGGCTCGGACGTGCCCCGGCCTTCTGAGGAGTTGTCCGAGCCTTCCCCGAGGACAGACAAAAACTTCTCAGAAGCCCGGAGGCGCTCTGAGAAGTTCCGCCGCCTTCCGAGAAGTTCTCCGAGCCTTCCCCGAGGACAGGCAAAAACTTCTCACAAGCCCGGAGGCGTTCTGAGAAGTTCCGCCGCCTTCTGAGAAGGTCTTCTCCTTCTCAGTTCCCCCCCCCCCCGCTCGCCTCCGAATGATGGCACCATTCGCTCGAACGGCGTCCCCGTTTAGGCATCCCATCGCCAGCGTGGACGTCCCCTGCCAAGCCGCCGACGCCCAAAAGCATGTTTTTCGGGAGCACGCGTCCCGCTCTCGCGCAAGACTTCACGCTGGTCGCCTGACAGGGCAGCCAGAGTGAACCGCGCAAAAACCTCGGCCTCAAATGACGCAGACGAACCCACCTAGTCAAACATGTCACATGCAAAATGTTCCACAAACTGCAGAACGACATGCTTCATCATCTTAGGTTGTCCGGACGATTGCTCGCCAGGGCTGGGCAGCCCCAAGAGTGAACTCCGCTCAAAACAGGTCCAGAGGCCCCTTCCCAGACACCATCTTACTTCACTTTTTGCGAGTTGCCTTCAGCCGTGGAGTCGAGGGGGGCCCGAAGGCCTGGGCGAAATCGACCTGCGGACTCTCAGCACAGACCTCGGCCTCTGAGCGCATCGCGACACGACCTCTATTTTGATGAAAGAGAGCGTGATCCACCGCCGCTTTACGGTGGAAAATTGCCAACCTTTTCCTCCGGAGCCCGGGGGTCGCCCCCCCCCCCCTCCGAAAATCCCCCCCCCCCCCCTCTGCTGGACCCCCCCCCCACCCCCCCTATCCCCGGCAAAACCCCCCCTCCCCTAACCCCTCCCCCCCCCCCTCCCCTCGAAAACCGGGGGGGGTGTCACTAACCCCCCCCCTCCGGATCCGGAAAACCGGGGGGGGTCACTACCGGTTCGAACCCCCCCCCCCCCTCGAAAACCGGAGGGGGTCACTACCAGTTCGACCCCCCCCCCCCACACGCACCGCCAGCAAACGACTCCCGGTCCCTACCACCGTCCGCATCACATCCCCCACTGTTGTTCCCAGCACCACTGTCCTCACCACCACTGTCCCCACTGGTTCCACCACCGTCCCTACTGTCCCCACCAGTGCCCCCACCACTGTCGCACTGTCCCCACTGTCCCCACCACTGTTCCCACCACGGTTCCACTCTCCCCACTGTCTCCACGGCCCCAACCACTGCCCGACTATCCCCACTGTCCCCACTGTCCCACTGACTCCTCCGCTGTCCCACTGAGATGTCCCACTGTTCCCACCACTGTCACTGTCCCCACCACTGTCCCCACTGTACCTCTGTCCCATTGTCCCACCGCCGTCCTCGCCACCGCCTTCACCACTGTCCCCAACACCATTGTACCCTCCACTGTCCCACTGTTTCCACCTCATTCCCGCTGTCCCCACACCACTGTCCCCACCACCGCCGTCCCCACCACTGTCCCACTGTCCCCCCTGTTCCCATCATTGTCCCCACCACTGTCCCCACCACTACCGTCCCCACCACTGTCCGCACCCCCACTCGGTTTTCGAGGAGGGGGGGGGAAGGAGGGGTTCGAACCGGTAGTGACCCCCCCCGGTTTTGGAGGGGGGGGGGGGGGCTCGAACAGGTAGTGACCCCCCCCGGTTTACCGGAGGGGGGGGGGGGAGGGGTTCGAACCGGTAGTGACCCCCCCCGGTTTTCCGCCAGCAGCGGTAGAACACGCTCTTTCTAAGATGAGGACGACGCCGCCGTCGATGACGACGACGACCCCACAGACCCGACGCCTTCACTTTAAGTGCGGATCAGAAAGCCCTGGCGCTCGCACGCCCACTTGCCATCGCTCGGACGTCCATTCCCCTTGCATTCTCGAAGTTTTGCTCCTCGATGCTCCTCGCCGAGAAAGCATGCACACGTCTGAGCGACGCCAAGCCCATGGCCAGCATCGTACTTCAGGACCACATCCCAAAATAATTTCGAGCACCCAGCAAAGTACCGAAACAGTGTCGAACGAATATCGCCTCTCAGGGCCGACCACGTGAAACCATCCAGTTTCGGTACTTTCTTGCTGCTCGAAATTCTTTCTGGTGGTCAAGGCTAAAAAATAGGTTGGACCATCATAAGGCCAGCTCTGAATCCGAAGTCGTTCTTGGACGGCCCCAGGGCCCGCCGAGGGCCCCCCCGGGGGAGACGACCGCAGCGAACAGAAAAACCTCCGTGCAGGTTGCTTTTCGGTGTACGCCGGAGCGTGGAGGCCTCGAGGAGCAACGGGGGCATCGAGGATCGAGGACCGAGGGGGAGGAGGGGGAGGAGGGCGAGGAGGAGAAGGAGGAGGAGGAAGGGAGGAGGAGGAGGAGGAGGAGAAAGAGGAGGCGTGAGGGAGGAGGAAGAGAAAGAGGAGGATGAGGAGGAGAGGAGGAGTAGGAGGGAGGAGGAGGAGGAGGAGGAGGGGGAGGAGGAAGCGTGCTGACCGCAAGCGAGCTGGGGCATGGCCGCTGCAAGGCTGGCAAGCCGGCAAGCTCCTACCTGCCCCTCCAGTCTGCGTTTCGACAGCACAGCTCCCCTGGTGGAAAGAACACGACGATCGCCACTCTCCGCGGTGGACCAGCCTCCCTTTCGTAAACCTCAATTGAATGAAAACGGCCTAAGACCGAAACCGACAGACCTGGACCCGCAAAATTGACGGCTGCGACGCCCTCTCGCGAGTCGACAACGGCCAATTCACTGATCATCAACGTGTCAGGGTAGGAGGTCGATCAAACTCCGACACTCAAAACTGACCGGTCCCGAGAGCGATCCGCAGAGGACCAGCCACGAGGGAAACGGAACAACCCCAGAACTCGCCATCGCTCGGACGTCCATTCCCTGTGTTTTTTTCGGTTTCGTGCGTGGTGTTTTCGCCAAATGATCAAGGATGCTCCTCGATGGTCCTTGCCGAAGGAAAAATGCACACGTCCGAGCGATGCCGAGAGAATGCCCCGACGGACCTGGATCCTCGAGCCGCGGGCGCCGACCGGCCGCGGCCGGGGTGGGTTCTCCATGGCCTCCCCCGGGGGCTGCTGTCTGACCAGGGCAGCCGGGCTGTGGCGACGAGGAAGGGGCGGCGGCATCAGTAACCGACACGCGGGCGATAAGAAAGTACCTCCCCCGCCCCCCTTCCCCCCCTCTACTTTCCTATCCCCGACCACAGGGATCTGTCTGTGGGGACTGCGCGGAGGCCGAACTTTAGCATCCACGGAAAAGCTGCGGGGATCGAAGTTGCTATCATATCAGGTTGATTAGCAACAGCATCGAAAATGCTGAGCATGACCACAGTGCGCCTCTGCGGGCAACTAGCCACGGGCCTCGAGATCGCTCGAGGCAGACTTCTGTCGTGCGCCTGGTTTAACCTCCTCCTCCTCCTCCATCATCGTGGTCATCGTCATCATCATAATCACCATCAGAATTAACTTACCTTCCCCAAGCAAATCCTTTATTATCCCCGCGGGAACCGCGAACTTTATTATCCCAGGGGGTTATTATCGCCCGCGGTCGGTTATGTTAGGATGATGCTGCTCCCATTGTACTTAAAGACCAGATCCGAGAAATAATTTCCAGCACCCAGAAAAATGTCGAAAGAGTGTCCAAACAATGTCGAGACAATGTCGGGCGAGTGTCTCCCCAGGGACCGACACGTGAAAACCCTCGAGTTTCGGTTTTTTCATTGGTGCTCGGAATTCTTTCTAGCGATCAAGGCTAAAGCAGACTGGAACATCATACTGTTGGGATGCATCTACTGGGAAGTCTTCGTCGGAAAAATTACGAATGATTCAGCCCCATTGGTGGGCTCTTACACCAGAGTAGGCCGCGGATTCAGCGGGATTCAACCAAGCTAAGCGAGATTCAGCCAGACTCAGCGGGATCAAACGTAAACGGGATTGGTCTGGATTTCGGACCAGGGCAAAGTCAGAACCTGACCTCCCAGTGATTGCATCCGAAAGCATGGCTCCCTCCCCTGATCGGCTACCTGCAGCGGCGACCCTGGGTAACTAGGATTAGAGGAAAAAGAACTATGCACATGCACCGATTCTGGCCAGGCCCATCCTGAGCCCAGGATCGGTGCATACGCCCTCCTACCTTGGCCAGGAAGGCATATGCACCGATCCTGGGTCAAAAATGGGCCTTGCCAGGATCGGTGCATGTGCATAGTTCTCTTCGCCCGATTTTTGGGGGGGCCACGGGGGGACAACACACGAGCGCCCAGGACGCTGCTGTCGCATCGCGCTCGGGAATCGGGGGCCCCGCGGGGCCCGCACCAGAGGCCGCTCCGGCGACGGGCCCCGCTTACAGGGCAATGTTTTAACATGGGATTTTAAAAGTCTCTGATGTTTGACACAATTTTAAAAGTACATGGTATTAAAAGTATATGATTTTAAAAGTACATGGGATTCATGTATGAATGAATTTACGCATGCACTCATCATTGTTCTGTGTATGTTAATTCCTTTCATCTGTAATCTATGATCCGCACGCGGAGCATGCATTCAAAACGGCACTGTACGTCCAGTCGCTCCGAACGGCGGGCGCCGCGCGCGCGCCCGGTCCTCCTCCCTGGCGGCGAGGATCGTGCCGCGCAGCTTCTCGCCCGTGGACGCGACCTCGGCGGCCGTTGAGCAGGGACCGACCGCCCCAGCATCCCTAGAGGCCTAGCACGAGATGTTTTTCTAGAACCCAAAAAGGCTCCAGAAACCAGGAAAGAAAGGCTCTTATAACAAAAGCCCGAGGTGTTAGCACGAGGCGGTGCCAGCCAGAAGTGTTCTGAGCACAGGTCGTGGAAGCCACGACTCCCCGTCGCTCGGACGTTCATTCCCTGTGTTTTCTTGGGTTTCGTGCGTGGTTTTTTCGCAGAATGATCCAGGATGCTCCTTCAGAATGCCCGCCGAGAAAAAAATTAGCCTGACGAGGGACCCAACCATATGCAGGTGCGAGTACCGCAATAGTGATTCATTTTTTCGGTGGCGATCCCTATGAGGCAACGAACCGTGCTAGGGGCGTGCCGACATGAGTGGCGTGGTACACAAAGTGAACGAAAACGATTGATCTGAGTACGTAGGGAGACTGAGCGCGGGTGAATCTGCGCGCGTGCGTCTGACTGTGAATGATCTGCGTGCGAGCGAGTCTACGTGCATGAATGCGAATATGACAAAGCGTGGTGCAAATGTGTATGAATGCCAATAGTTTGACAACGACTGCCTCTGAATACTCGTGACGCTGGGCGTGGCCGCCGCAAGGAGCTTCCCCGGGACTCCCCGACGGCATCGCCCGCGCGCCGCGACGCCAATGTCGGCGCGCCCCCCCGCGAGGATCGCGCCCGCTTCCTCCCCTTCCTTTACTCCCTCTTTGCCCGCGCACTCAAAAGTCCAAGGCTGCGGGAGCAGCGCAGCGCGGAGCCCCCGCGACGCGCGCAGGTCACCCCGGAGGGGTCCCAGCGACGCGCGCGGGTCGTCCACTGCGCGGAGCGAAGAGAGCTAGCTGGCTGGCTGATAGCGGGCAAGGCTCTTGCCGCTGGGCAGAGCGACGACGGGCGAGCGAGGCGCTGGGCGGAACGCAGCACGGAGCCCCCGCGACGCGCGCAGGTCGCCCCGGAGGAGTCCCAGCGACGCGCGCGGGTCGCCCGCTGCGCGGAGCAAAGAGAGCTAGCTGGCTGGCTGGGACCTGCGGTGGGGCTCCATATGGGGCCACGTAACGCTGTACTGGGCAAAGGAGACGCATGTGGACTGCGCCACGGGGACCTTCGGTGGAGCTCCCTATGGGGCCACGAAACGTGTGAGGGATGTGCCGGAATGGGTGTGCGGGACGCATGCGGGCACACCCACTGAGACCTTCGGTGGAGCTCCCTATGGGGCCACGAAACGTGTGAGGGGTGTGTGTGTGCGGGACGCATGCGGGCACACCCACTGGGACCTTCGGTGGAGCCCCCTATGGGGCCACGAAACGTGTGAGGGATTGCCGAAATGGGTGTGCGGGACGCATGCGGCACACACTGACTGACCTTCGGTGGAGCTCGCTATGGGGCCACGAAACGTGTGAGGGGTGTGCCGAAATGGGTGTGATGCGGGACGCATGCGGGCACCCACTGGGACCTTCGGTGGAGCTCCCTATGGGGCCACGAAACGTGTGAGGGGTGTGCCGAAATGGGTGTGCGGGACGCATGCGGGCACACCCACTGGGACCTTCGGTGGAGCTCCCTATGGGGCCACGAAACGTGTGAGGGGTGTGCCGAAATGGTGTGGGGGACGCATGCGGCCACCACTGGGACCTTCGGTGGAGCTCCCTATGGGGCCACGAAACGTGTGAGGGGTGTGCCGAAATGGGCGGTGCGGGCATTCGGTGGAGGGGGCCACGAAACAGGGGTGTGCCGACATGGGTGTGCGGGACATGCCACACCCACTGGGACCTTCGGTGGAGCTCCCTATGGGGCCACGAAACGTGTGAGGGGTGTGCCGAAATGGGTGTGCGGGACGCATGCGGGCACACCCACTGGGACCTTCGGTGGAGCTCCCTATGGGGCCACGAAACGTGTGAGGGGTGTGCCGAAATGGGTGTGCGGGACGCATGCGGGCACACCCACTGGGACCTTCGGTGGAGCTCCCTATGGGGCCACGAAACGTGTGAGGGGTGTGCCGAAATGAGTGTGCGGGACGCATGCGGGCACACGCACTGGGACCTTCGGTGGAGCTCCCTATGGGGTCACGAAACGTGTGAGGGGTGTGCCGACATGGGTGGTGATAATGATGATGACGACAGATGATGATGACGATGACGATGATGGGGATGATGACGATGATGATGAAGATGGGAGGAGGGAGGGGGCAGCGGGAAGGAAGGAACGCGGGGCGCTGTCTCTTCAAAACGAGGACCCAACACCACAGGATGGTTGGGAAAAAGACACACGTCCGAGCGATACCAAGACGAGAGGCCATCAGCTTGGTGGGCCTGTCGGCGAGCCAAGACGCTTCGCCCCCGCCCGAGGCCGTGGGCGGGGGGAGCGCGGCGGGGGCTCCGGGCGCCCCGGCGGGGCCCTCCCCGAGGGATCAGGGGCGAGGGCCTCCGGTCCTCGCGGGGCCGCCTCCCTACAGGGCAGTTTCGAATACATAGGATTCTAACAATATAGGATTTCAATACATGACTAATTTAGGAATAAACTTATGCATGAACTCATCGCTGTTTTTAATACTAAATCCCTGCATTGTTAATACATGATCCGCACGCGGAGCATGTATCAAAAACGGCACTGTACTGTTTGCCCCGCCTCCTCACAGACAGTGAAGGCCAGTCTTCAAGAAAGCTTCCACAAGAAACCCAACCCTGAGACCCCAGGACATTCATTGATTTTTTCGGTGTGGGAACGCCACGCCTTCCATGGCAACACCATCGAAGCCCAAGACACCCAAGTCACCCTGGAGGCAAGCTGGGTGTATCTTGGCATGGGTCTCCAATGTATAGCGCAAATCGCCCATCCATGGTTGCCCCGCCTCCTCACGTAATTGGGCGCCCGAATTATCCGGGGTAACTCGGGTCCAGGGTAACTCGGGTTTGGATTATCGAAAAACAAACCCGAGTCTGTCCTGACCTGAGTTACCCCTGATGATTTGGGGCTCTGGACGCCCGAATTATCCGGAGTAATTCGGGTCCGGGATAAGTCGGGTTCGGAATCCCGAGACCGAACCCGCGTTACCCCTGACCCGAATTACCCATAATGATTTGGGGCTCTGCACGCCCGAGTTATTTGGGGTAACTCGTGTCCAGGGTAACTAGGGTTCGGAGTCCCGAAAACGAACCCAAGTCAGCCCTGACCCGAGTTACCCCAGAGGAGGATCCGGGGCTCCGACGTAACGCTCTCTCCTCGTCGCTCTCCACAGCGTCCTCGCTTCGCCCTCGTCCCTGCAGCCTTTTTCCCACCCCTGGGCGCTGCCGACTGCGCAAACAGGTCCGACACGATCGCAAACCCCTGGGAGGTCCAGCGGCGAGCGCTCTTCTTTCGACATCCTGTTCATTATCCTCATGCAGTCTAGTCGTTGACCCAAGGAACCCTAAATAAGGAACGAGGCCCATTTTTCCCATCAGTTAAAGTTCGATGTCCCATCGAAAACCTCAGGAAAACCTAAGGCAAGCTGTGAAACAATCAAGGAACACGGAGCCCCTCCCCAACGAAAAGGGTTCCTTCTTCAGCGCCCTGACTGTAATTCTCACACTCCTCATCCCCCCGATCGCAACTACAGTCAAGTCATCGGCCTGACCGAAGGATCGATAAAATCGCCGGCCCAACGGGCCAGAGGCGGGCTAAGATCTCCGGTAAGTGGTTAACAGTATTTCTAGTTCGCGCGCGCGGGGCGGCCCCTGGGGGCCCCCCGGCGAAAAGTATCCCGACCGCAGCCCGACCAAGTCTACCCAGAGATGGTTTTGAGGGCCCTTTTTCGACACCCCTTACGAGGAACGTGGCCTCCGAAGGGGGTGCACTCGACTACCCCGCCCCAAGAAGCCCCCAAGAGCCCCCCAAGAGGCCCAAGGGGGCCCCAAGACGCCGCCAAGGAGCCCCAAGAGACCCCCAAGAGGCCCCCAAGAGGCCCCTAGGCGGCCCCAAAGAGGCCCCCAAGAGGCTTCAAAGAGCCCCCGCTCGAGGGCCGGCGGAATGAGCGAAGCGATTAAATAAAGAACGAAGCTTTTTTCCCAAGAAGTAACACATACATAAGGAGCGATATATGATACATATTAACGCATAAAGAACGAAACACCACGCATGCACCCCGAAGGAAAGACCGAGCCCCTACTGAAAAGTAAGAGTGCCTTGTTCAGGCCGCTCACTGTACCCCACGCCTGGAGACACAGGGCACCACACGCGACGGTCCGTCCTGCCCCCCTCGAGCAGAGTCGCGACCCAGAATATGCTGGGCTGGCATCAGGTCAGGTATGTCCTCCTACAGGCGGATTTCGGAAGGACACCTCAAACTATGTAAAGGCATACCCAACCAGAATCACACAAGAATGCAACGTCGTCTCTGGACTATGTTTGACCATTGTTGAACTGTCCTCCTGCAGAGGGACATGCCAGGCTGGCACGGTGGCGGGCGCTGCCGCGGGCCGCTGGATGCCCGAAGGACGGCCGACTGGGACAACGACGGCCGTCCCGCCCGGCCCTCGTCCGCTCAAAATCGGCCCCGGACTTCTCCAGACAGAACCACCGAGTCACGCATCCGGAAGGACGCGTGGGCAGAAGAGCGCGCGATTGGCAACGCTTCGGGAAATTATGAAGGGGCCCTCGGACACACAAAGAAATATACACAAATAGCAGGATGATGTTTCCATATTCTCTAGGTTTTTGTCTTTCCCCCCACTTCCCATATTTTCCTATATTTCTCTGGGAGTCGACGATTAATTGTGTCTGTGTGTTTTTTCCCTCTTGATATTGAAAGAACGAGACGAGAAGACGGAGCGCGCCTCACGACTGTGAGTAAGGCAGGATTGGCCCCTGACTCCTGCTGGGGCCAATCCTGACCCGCTTGTCGAGCGGATCCAGCTGTGTCCTGCACGGTTTCCCCCGGGGCCGTAGGCGACCCGAGGAGGAGGAGGAGGAGGAGGAGGAGGAGGAGGAGGAGGAGGAGAAGGTGGAGGAGGGGGAGGGGGAGGAGAGATGAGGAAGAGAAAGGAAGGAGAGGAGGGGAGAGGGAGGAGGAGGAGGGAGAGAGGAGAGAGGAGGAGAGAAGGAGGAGGAGAGAGAGGGAGGAGGGGAGAAGAGAGGAGGAGAGGGGGAGGAGGGAGAGAGGAGAGGGAGGAGGAGGAGAGGAGAGGAAGGAGGAGTAGGAGGGGAGGAGGGGTTGCCTAAGCCCTTCGGAGAAACCCTCTAATCCCACCGTGGCGACCGACCAGGAGATCCCAACACGTGACGCACACACCGCCGGAGAGGAGCCGCCGCCGCCTCGACTGAGGCCCTCCTCCGAGAGCTCCCCAGACATGTCAGCGTTTTTTCATTCGGCGTCTCGACAGTGGGCGGAAAGGGGGGGGGGAGGGGGGGGGTCTGGCTCCGGACCTCTGCTCAGTGCGACTGTTTGCAGGTGTGCTTTGCAGGTGTGCGGCCGCCTCTGGAAGAGGCTCTCTACCCGCTCGAAACAGGTGCAAAAGACAGCCAAGATCTACTCCATGCATAGGGGGGGGGAGAGGGTGGGGGGTGCGAGGGCACGCGCCGATCGGCAGAAGCATGAATTAAAAAAAACGCGCACCCGGAGGTCTGGACATCTTCCCTATATGGTTCCTCGTCCTGAGTCGTTCTTTACGGCCCCCGTTGAAGGCCCCCTAGGGCCGATAACCGCCCAAAACCCAAAACCGGTCCAGAGCCTCGAAGCTCTGGGCCCCCCCCCCCCCCCAGAGGCCTCCTCGATGGCAGGAGAGCCCAGGATCGAATCGAGAAGTCCAATCGGCGATCGAAAGGAATCGAACCGGCGGGCATCGGCAGCCAAGTCGGGAGGAGTCGATTCGGCAGAAATCGGCAGAGTAGCAATGCCTCATGCCTCAGTGGGAAACTGGAATCCACATCGGAATCCACATCCAAATCGAAACGGACTCGGAGCCCACCGGGACCGTATCGAACCGACTCGGAGGAATCGATCTCCTCGATGGAGCCGGAAGATCGCGCATACGTCGGCGGCGTCGGCGGTGCAGCTGCGCCGCCGGCGCGGAGAAACTCCGGCTCCACACCGAGCCGCCTCGCCGATGCCTCGGCGAGAGGCGGCGCGCTCCTCCGAGCCCATCGGCTCCGACCCCATTTATGTTGAGCATCGTCTCCTCCGAGCCCATCGACTCCGAGCCCACCGACCGTCCCGGCATTCCACAGGCCTGCCACGACACGTTCTCAGAACCCCAAAGCGTGTTCTGAGAACAAAATCAAGAGTGCTCAGCACATAATCCCGGCGTGCTGAGACGGGGCAGTCCGAGCCAGAAATGTTATGAGAGTATTTCGCCACCACCAAAAAACTCTCAGAACATCGCTTGGTGGGCCTATAGGCACGCTGGGACGCGTCGCCACTGCATGACCAGGGGAGGGCCAGGCCCCCCCCACGGAGTCCGCGGGTCTCCTCTTCTGCAGACGCAGCGGGCCGAGCCGCCCAGCACTCTGATCCCCAGTGTGCGAGGACGGGGACCTCAGTGAGGCCACGTCTTCATCGTGCTATTCGGGCTGGGAGTTCCTTTGTTCTCGACGATCTGGGAGGCCCAGCCGCCCCCCCGCGAGGCGGCGAGCAAGGGGGGGACGTGAGCAGGGGCGGGCCCTCTCGGAAGGCTCGGAAGTCCCCCGGATTTCTGAGAAGGTTTCCACGGGCTCCCAACTTCGCGCTTCGCGCTTCGCGAAGTGCGATAATTTCGCGCTCTCGCGCCGCCTCCCAGGGTAGAAAAGGAGGATGAGGAGGAATCGGAGCCGAACCGCGAAGCGCGAAGATAACCTCGCGCCCTCGTTGTCCGAGCCTTCCCCGAAGACAGGAACGACTCCTCCGAAGGCGCGCGAGGGCCTCCGAGGAGCCCCGCCGCCTTCTGAGGAGGCCTTCTCCCCCCGCGCGCTAGCCTCCCCCCGCGCGCTCGCTTCCCCCCCAGCGCTGGCCTCCCCCCCGCGCTCATCGGGAGCGACCAAGCGGGGGGTGTCCAAGAGGGGGGGGTGCAAATCATGACCGGCGACTCGTGCGCGGCCTAGCGGGGGGGCCAGGGACGCAATGGAACAAGAAGAGGCGCCATGAAATCTGAGGAAATGTCATGGCCCCCGCCATGATATCCACCCCCCCTAGCCATCACCCCCCTCTTTTCCGCCCCCGACTTCGGGCCCCGGAACCATCACACATCGATCCGGTCCCGAAGAGGATGCAGAAAGATGGGGTCTAGTGCTCCGGCCGTGTTTTCTTCACGGCCCCCCGCGCAAATAAGAGTAAGAATCATAACAATAAGAATAATAATCAGAAGAAGAATGATAACCCCCCGCGCTCAGCCCCCCCCCGGCGGGCCATGGTCTTGGTTGTGCGCAGCAGAGGCGGCAGGGGCAGCCCGTCCAGCAGGCGGCACAGGGCGTCCGCGGCGCCCTCGTGCTCCCGCCGCGCGCTGCCCTGGGCCCACGCCTGCGGGCGGCGTGGGTGGCCCCCCGCGGCCGCTCCCTCCTCCTGCTCCGCCCCTCCCTCCTCCTCACTCCTCCTCCTCCCCCTCTCCTCCTCATCCTCATCCTCCTCCTCCTCCTCCCTCCCTCCTCCTCTCTCCTCTCCCCTCACCCCCATCCCTCCCTCCCTCCCTCCCAGCCCCCTCCTCCTCCCCTCCTCCTCCCTACCGCCGCCTCCTCCGCCCTCCCTCCTCCCCGCCTCCTACCCCCTCCTCTCTCCTCCTCCTCCTCCCCCCCCTCCTCCTCCGCCTCCCTCCTCCTCCTATCCTCCTCCCTCCTCCTCCCTCCTCCTTCCCTCTCCTCTCCTCCTCCTCTCTCCTCCTCACTCCTCCTCCTCCTCCTCCTCCTCCTCCTCCTCCTCCTCCTCCTCCTCCTCGTCCCCCCTCGGGCCCCTCTCCTGAGGAGGCAACTGCTAGGAGGTTTTCGTCGGAAAGATCAAGCAGGATGGAGTCCAATCGAGGGCCGTTGCGCAGGAGTGGGCCTCGGATGAAGCCCGATTGAGCGGGATTGAGCTGGACTGAACGGGAATCGGGGGGATTCCGCTGGATTGCGGACCAGGGCGAAGTCAGAATCTGACCTCCCGGTCGTCCATTCCCTGTGTTTTTTTCGGTTTGGTGCGTGGTTTTTTCGCCAAATGATCAAGGATGCTCCTCGATGGTCCTCGCCGAAGGAAAAATGCACACGTCCGAGCGATGCCAAGTCGTGGGGGGCAGCATATCCGTGTCCACGGCCAGCGGGCAGGGCCCGTGGGCCGTGCCCCCGTGGATAGGGTATACGTCTATTCGCGGAGGCCCTGCGCGGAACGAACCCGTGCGACCGCGCAGCCGCGGGATCGCGCCCAGGAATTGGGGAAGCCACAGGGTAGCGATACTGCTGCTCCCCGGACCTCTCCAGGGGCGCGCGTTCTGACCAGGATTCCGAAGCGACTCCAGCGGGGGCGACGAGGGCCTCCCCGGAGGCCGAAAAGGTTGGAAAAACGGGCGACGGGTAGCGGTATGGGTACCTTTTCCTCCTCTGAGGAAGCTGGACCATGCGGGCGCACGTAATTCGAGAGCGGCCAAGAGGGGGGTGTCCAAGAGGGGGGGGCAAATCATGACCGTCGGCATGTGCGCGGCCCAGCGGAGGGGCCAGGGACGTAATGAAATAAGAAGAGGCATCATGAAATCTGGGAAATATGTCATGGCCCCCGCCATGATATCCACCCCCCCTAGCCATCACCCCCCTCTTTGCCGCCCCCGAGTAATTCCGACCCCCTGATCTGGGCGCTGAAGCTGTTTCGAAACGGGCGCCTTCGCCTGGCTTCGGGCCCTGGAACCATCACAGATCGATCCGGTCCGGAAAATGATGAAGAAAGGTGGGGTCTAGTGCTCTGGCCGTGTTTTCTTCACGGTGTTGCAAGGTGTAGTAACGTCGGACATCAGGAGACACCAGCCTGCGCAGGGGCCCCGCTCTCCTTGCGAACCCTCCCGGTCCAGCCCTCCTTCACCGTGAAGCTTGGGGGCCGAAGCAGCCCCAGCTGGCCTCAGGCCGCCAGAGCTGGTAAAAACCGCAACAGCCCAGCACGGGTCCAAAACAACCCCCCCAGGACCCTAGACCTCCTCCAGCTATTCCTCCTCCGCTCCAGCACAGGCAAGGAGGCGATAATCGGAAACTGGAGAATATGCAATAGCAGTGGCGGGTTGTTTTTCAATCCCAAGACTTTTTGAGGGTCGGGGGCGACGTCAGGGTAGTGTGGTGTATACTTGTTTCCCCATTTTCCTCGGGAGCAACGAAAAATGTACACACCAAGATCCCGTATACACCAGGATCCGGATTCCTGAGAAAATTTCAGCGCATGACAGGAAAAAACCGCTGTGTATAGAGCTCGGCTCCCCAGATAAGAGAGGGAGGAGAGGAGAGGACGCGGGGCGCTGTCTGTTCGAAACGAGAGCCCAACACCACAGGATGGATGGGAACAATCAGACAGCACACACCAGCAACAAAAATCGCACATCACACACCAGCAGCAGCACACATCGCACAGCACACACAGCAAACATTGCTAGAGTGTACTGTGTTCTGTTACACGTGATGATGATGATGATGGTAATCACAACGACGACGACGATGATCATGACGACGACGGTATCGATGACGATGACGAAGACGGTGCCAGACGACGATGACGATGCCGATGACCATGGCGACGACAGTCATAATGCACTTTGCACTTTGCACCGTGCCCTCAAGGTCTCCCTTGCGCCTGAGGCGGCACGTCAAGCCGCTGAAAGAAACGTTATACGAAAGCGCCTCGCGTGAGACACGAAAAGATTGAGGTCAGTGCAGTTGGCGTGCAATCGGGCGAACGCGAGCTAAACATTATGCCTTGCTGCACTGACCTGCATCCGCGAGCCAATCGGAACCGAGCAGTCGGGCGAGGTCCGTTTCCCAACGCCAGGCCTTGACGGTCATAATTCATAATGATGATGAGGGTGATGATGATGACGATGGTGATGATGACGCTGATGACGTTGATGCTGATGATGATGATGATCACGACGACGGCAACGACGACCGACGACCGGGGGCCCAGTTGTACCATTCAATGTCGTCGTCATGTGTGCGCGTCTCCCTGTGCCTCGGCCCATGGTCCGAATGCATGTTTCCTTCGATTACGCAAGTATTACGTGGGCACCGTCGTGCTGCAACATAATATGCAGCAGCGCACCAAAGCAGGGAATACGACATTTGTGCGTGCGTATAAGGGTGTGTTGTTCTTGTTGATGTTTGGTGTCGTTTGCTGTTTCTTGTTGTGGTTTGATGTGTTTGACTATGCTCATGAACATATTATTGGTGGTTGTTGATGTTTGGCGTGGTTCTTCTAATCTATGTGAGAATAAATCAGATTGATGATTGTTGTTGGCGTATGGTGTGTTTCTATTTTGTTGTAGTGTGTTTGGTTGTGTGCTGTTGTTGATGGGTGTTGTTGAGATAGCTTGCGGTTGCGAAAGGTTGTCTATTGATGTCGTTGTTTTGGCTGTTGTGTTGCTTGTTGGTGGTTTTGGAATTGTGTTTGATGTGTTTGGCATGTGTTCGTTGTGTTTTGTCGTTCTTCTGTCGAATGTGTGCCTGTCTGTGTTTGTTTTGATGTTTGATGCGGGTTTGGTCGGCGAGTGGTCGGTGGGAGGTCGGTGGAGGTCGGTGGAAGCTCGGTAGAGGTCGGTGGGAGGTCGGTGGAAGTGTGGAAGGTCTGTGGGAGGTCGGTGGGAGGTCGCTGGGAGGTCAGTGGGCGGCCGATTCCTCGAAAAACGTCAGACAAACGTCTTGCCCAGAACAGGAAACACACGACGTTGCCTAAAAACGCCTGAGAACATACGAAATGAATTACGCTTTTCGTTAGAGCACAACGAACAACACATGTAAAACAACACCAAAAATCCGCCGGCCCCCTTGCGGGACCACCAGGCTGTAGGCCGGGAATCTGCTGCTCCCTGTACCAGTTGCAGCTTCTAGTTTCCACTGTTTCAGTTCTGCTTCTTGCTGCTTACTGTTCCTTGTTGATGAACGCGCGAGGGGGGGGGAGCCCAAACCAGCAGAACTACCAAGCCCTGGGAGGGTTCTCAGAATTTCTGGGGGAAGTGAAAATTGACACCCCTCACGCAGATGCGCCGGGTCAGGGTCCAAAAATGCAAGGGATTTGCCACATGTTTGAACTCCAGTGGCACCCCTCACGCAAATCGGCGGGGTCAGGGTTAAAAAACACATGGGATTTGCCACATTCCTGAAATTCGGTGGCACCCCTCACGCAGATCGGCGGGGTCAGGGTCCAAACACATAGGGGATGTGTCACATTTCTGAAATTCGGTGGCACCCCTCATGCAAACCGGTGTGGTCAGGATCCAAAAACAAAAAGGATTTGCCACATTTCGGAAATTCGGTGGCACCCCTCACGCAGATCGGCGGGGTCAGGGTCAAAAGTCACATGGGATTTGCCACATTCCTGAAATTCGGTGGCACCCCTCACGCAGATCGGCGGGGTCAGGGTCAAAAAACACATGGGATTTGCCGCATTCCTGAAATTCGGTGGCACCCCTCACGCAGATCGGCGGGGTCAGGGTCCAAAAACATAAGGGATGTGTCACATTTCTGAAATTCGGGGGCACCCCTCATGCAAACCGGCGGGGTCAGGGGTCTGGGTCCAAACACACAACAGGACTTGCAGCATTCCTGAAATTCGGTGGCACCCCTCACGCAGATCGGCGGGGCCAGAGTCGAAAAACAAACAGGTCCGACACTGCTTCACGGCGGCGCCCAGACCTCATGAATTAGCTGTTGCATCTCCCATTATTCGAGACAGGGGGCCGGCGGCATGGGGCGAAGCCCTTACGGATCATCATGCACCACAAACTGACACTAACAAAAAGCAGAAACTACAAACAACAGCGCAACAAAAAGGCATCAAAAAACAAACACCATCAGCTGAAAAAACACCAACATACACAAAAAGAAACATCACACAACATAATCATAGGAAGCCGTGAATACAATACAAGCAGCATAACACACCAAACATCACCACCAAACACACCATCGTATAACGTAGCAAGAACAACACACGACAGTCGTTTTTTTTCGGGCTTGCTGGTCTGCTGTAGTTTCTGTTGCAACACGACGGTGCCCATGTAATCCGTCTTATGGGAGGGAGGCAAATCCAGACCTTAGGCCGTGGCAGAGAGGACGCGCACACACATGACGACGACGTTGGCCCCCAGTCGTCGTCGTCGTCGTCGTCGTCGTCGTAATCGTCGTCGTCGTCGTGATCATCATCCTCATCATGACCGTCGTCGCCATCGCCATCTCTATCGTCATCGTCGTCTTCATCGTCGCATCGTCGTCGATACCGTCGTCGTCATTGTCATCGTCGTCTTTGTGATTATCATCCTCACGCGTAACAAAACATAGCACAAACAAACAATGTCTGCTGTG